TGCATTCAGGATGTTGCTCCTGTTCTTGCTGCTGCTTTTTGTCTCCCTGGGTGAGAAGGGGAGAAGTGCATCTCTTGGAAAAGGCTTCATGCCAAGAAGCTGCTTCCGAATTCTGTGTGTCTCCTTTAGGTTGAAATTCAGACTTTCACTTGGTCTCATTTGTGGATTCAGTGGCACTTAGCTCACTGGACTCTGAGCAGCCACTCTCCCGGTTCTGTTTAGCTGGCAGTGGCGTGCGCCTCCCCGTTTACCAGCAGCTGTGACCGTTAGTGTAGGGCAGGGGTGACCAACCTGTGGTTCCTGAGCCACATGCGGCTCTTCAGAAGTTAATATGTGGCTCCTTGTATAGGCACTGACTCCGGGGCTGGAGTTACAGGTGCCAACTTTCCAATGTGCCGGGGGGTGCTCACTGCTCAACCCCTGGCTCTGCCACAGGCCCTGCCCCCACTCCACCCATTCCCACCCCCTCCCCTGAGCCTGCTGTGCCCTCGCTCCTCCCCCACCCCTCTGCCCCAGAGCCTCCTGCACGCCATGAAACAGTGGGTGTGGGGAGGGAGGGGGAGGCGCTGATCGTCAGGGCTACCAATGGGTGGGAGGCCCTGGGAGCGGTGGGGGGGGGGAGAAGCTGATGGTGGGGGGCTGCTGATGTATTACTGTGGCTCTTTGGCAATGTACATTGGTAAATTCTGGTTCCTTCCCAGGCTCAGGTTGGTCACCCCTGGTGTAGAGAATCATCACTGGCACTATCACTGGATGCCTTGGCTGCATTGCCTAGCAAAATGGTTGTATTTGTGGCAACTCTGCACCTTTTCCTTAATGCTGGACAATGTTTATGCATGTTCACTTCCACATCTCCCACATTGTCACCTGAGCTGTTTGTTACAAGGGTTTAGTGCCCTTCCTTGCATTCTCACTCCCATCCCTTATATTGCACTGTGTGCGAGCCCTCATCTATGGTTTATTGACTCAACGTTTCACTTGACACCTAAACTTATGATTTTGCCTGTCCTGCTGCTTTGCAGATTATGATTTTTTGAAAGTTTCTATGCAAAAACGTTTATGTCCCTTCTCAGCTCTGCAGCCCACCACCAGCCCCTCTGTAATCTGGGAATCTCTTACAGGCCAAAATTGCAAGAATGGCTCTTGAGCTTCAAGTCTGTAACATGCTCATCGGTACTTTCTTGTGCCTTTTGCAGGGTTAAGTGAAAGAGGAATCTTTCAATTGTTTAATTTTTTCTGGACACAAGATAAGTTTCAAACTGTGCTAGGACCTTTTCAAATGCTGTCCATGAAAACTATTACAACAGGCAGAGCTGGTAGTACTGCCTATTAAGGTTGTCTGACCTTCCCTGTCCCACACTGAGATGTAGGCAGTGCGACCTAGTGGTTGGAGCAGAATCAGAGGGCAGACCTAGAGGCATGATCAGAAAACTAGCCAATGGTTGGAGACAGGAACCAGAACAGAACCAAAGGGCATTTGTGGTCAGGAGACAAGCCAGTGGTCAGAGCCAGGAGTTAGGAATCAGGAGTTCAGAGGTAGGCACCAACTAGGGCTGGAGCAGAGCAGAAGGGTGGAGCAAGGGCTGAACAGGAAGCAGGTCTGGGGCAGCTGAGGGTGTGGAATACATTGATCAGCCACTGTACTGCTGTTGCTTCAGGATTTAAATGGGAATCTGATGGCTCTTCTGATGAATCAAGAACCACAGTTGCTTGTTGAGAGTCCATTGGGCCCAACCAAGTTTGTTGGGTTGCTAGCATGGGTGGCACGTGGAGCTCCCCTTTGGGGAGGTTAGCCCCAGCTCTGCCCCTTCTGCCCCCACCCCGGCCAGAGGAGCCCCAAGCCGGCCAGAGCCCCAAGATATCCCCCCACCCCCGCCGGCCGGAGGAGCCCTGAGCCAGCCAAAGCCCCGAGACACACACACACACACCCCTCGGCTGGAGGAGCCCCGAGACCCCCACCCTTCGGCCGGAGGAGCTGGCTTAATCCCGAGACACCCCTGCCACCTGCCTAGAGGAGCCCCCAACTGGCTGAAGCCCCGAGCTTTCCTGCCCGGAGTCCCGGGCCAGCTGCAGCCTCCCCTCCCCAAAAGCATGCATCTCTTCTCCGGAAAAAGCTTTTGCTATGCCCCATGCAGGTTCCTGGGCGGCTGAGGAGGCGGTAGCACATACTGCTGCCTCAGCTGCCCCAGAACCTGCATGGGGCATAATAAATCAAAAACTCCCCCACCAAAACCCTGCAACTGGGGTCTAGCGGTCGTAGCAGCGCCAGGGAAGGCTGAGCCTCCCCTGGCCTATACCAGCTGCCCATGGTTGCTAGGCAACCGAGCCTGGAGGCAGCTGAGTTCCTAACATCCCCCCACTGAAGGACTCTGTTTTCAGTTGCTTATAACTTTGCCAAACTTTAGTTTTACATGTTGGGTGTCTGCCTCAAGATGAATTGTTTTGGAAAGTTTCAACCAGAATGGTTCAGCCATTTCCAAGAATGAAGTTAAGGAAATGGATGGAACCAGAGAATGGTTCTGGCTATTGTCACCACAATTGGAAGCCACCTGGACTCTGGCCAGAGGAAGTGGGTGGACTGCTTGGCCAGAGCATGGGGCTGCGCACCCTGCATGTTCTGTGCTCTAGGAGGTGAGGGCAGCCTTGCCTCCTGCTTCTCTCAAGTGGGCTCTGTGGGAGGGTGCTCCCTGGCCCTCTGGAACTCATCATTGGGCCCCTCCTCTATAAGCCCCCCCATGCCACCTGAGCAGGTGGAACAACTTCCAGCCAATCTGCCTCCAAATCATGCCTAGGGAACATGTGTACATGCTTGTGCTTCACACCTTCCATTTCCTCACTCTCATGTCCCATGTGCCCTGAGGGAGAGGGCCTTTAGTTATGGAGGGGCATGTCCCTAGTATGTCAAATACCCATACCTGTTGGCACCTGTGGAGGGTGAGGAAGCCTGGTGGGCTAGTCTGTACTCCACTCTAGTTCCACAGCCTGCCAGAGATATTAGTTGGCAGCTCCACAGAGCCAGGAGCACAGGCATATGGGTGGAGATAGAACTGCTGGTTGTAGTGGAACCCTTGGCGGTAGCAGAGGAACGCATGCAGCATGCACCATGCCAAGCTATGTGCATGGAAGGCATGTACTATTTGAATTACTGGGGTCAGGGATGTGCCAAATGAACAAACAGCAGAAGGAATGGGGTCAAAGGTTGAAAGGGATGCAATGGGAAAATTGAGCAGAGAACCCTGACGGCACCCACTGTTCCTCAGAGGGGTCTAGAGGCTCAGTGGATGAAGCCTGGAGGAACCCTGCCCAGAGGCATGATCATAGGAGGGAGTGGAAATAGTTGCAGAACACCCATCCATCCAGCTTCCTTCTCCTGGAATGGCAGATGGCCATCTTGACCAGCCCCAGGAGGAAGTTGATGAGGCAGTCTCACAGCTTTGTAGGGGCATGGATGGGGTTCTCATTGATCAGGAGGTGCAGGGAAAAGTGCAGCCAGAATATCAGTGAGAGAGAACCTTACTGGGGCTGCAACCTGACGCTCCCTACATAGATGTGTGCAAGGGTCTCCTTCTCTCCACTAAAGGGACAGGTGTCAGGGGAATTCATGAACTGCATCAGGTAACATGCCCGTGCTTACGGCCCCCTGGAGGATTCACCAGCTAATGCCCCTTGTGGGTCCTGGAACCAGAGTTCTTTGCCCTCCTTTAGTGGCAACAGGTCCTGCCACTTGCTGTTGGGGTGGAACATGGGGATGAGGAAGTGGATGGTATGAAGCATGAGCACAGATGGATGTTCTCTAGGTGCAGTTTGGAGGTGGCTTGGCTGGATGTCACACAGCCAGCTCAGGTGGCATGTTGGGTGGGCAGCTGGAGAGGCTTGCAGGGCGAATTCTGGAAGAGGAAGGGTGCAGATAGGTGGGAAGCCTCCTGCCTCAGGATCCAGTCAAGTGAATCAGGAGGCAAGGCTGCCCTCACCTTCTGGAGCACATAACGGGACACGCAGGATGGACAACCTCATGTGTTGGCCAAGCATCACGGGGTTCACCCAGTCCCTCTGGCCATAGTCCAGGAGGTTTCAGATTCTGATGGCACCAGCCAGGACCATCCTCCAGTGCACCAAGGGAGACTCCAGCACCTGCACACAGAGATGGCAGTTGTGTAGCAGCGGTTCCATTAGGAAGTCTTCCCCCTTGGTGGCCAATATGGACCTAGTCACGGAATCTAGCTTCCAGGTCCTGAGGGCATCCTGATAAATGACCAGCAGCTCAGAAAGCTCTCAGGGTGTTATACATGAGACATCTCCCCTAGCAAATTCATGGTCCATTTTGGTCAATTTCACGGCCATAGGATTTTTTAAATTGTAAATTTTATTACTTCAGCTATTTACATCTGAAATGTCACGGTGTTGTAATTGTAGAAGTCCTGACCCAAAAAGGAGTTGTGGGGGGTCGCGAGATTATTGTAGGGGGAGTTGCGGTACTACTACCCTTACTTCTGCACTGCTGCTGATTTAAAATTTTATTAGAGAATGTTTAAAAATAGATGATATAGAGTGTTGAAACGTCAGTTATTAGTCATCGGGGGTAGCATACAGAGTATAGGGGGATGTTAGTATTTTGATATTGGATAGCACATAACACATACTGTCTGCAATATCCCCAATGGGGGGGTATAAGGTGGATGAATCAAGGTACAGTCAGCAAGCAGTGAGGGTACATCACTCATACAGGAATTACAGGCAATCACAGGTATAAATAAGCGGGCCGGGTAATGAGGATAGGATATCCCTCATATGGTGGAGTTCAGTTCGGTTCGGTGGGTTCAGGGCCGGCTCCAGGCACCAGCTTCTCAAGCAGGTGCTTGGGGCGGCCGTTCCGGACAGGGGCGGCAGTTCCAGGTATTCGGCGGCAATTCAGTGGACGGTCCCTCACTCCGCCTGGGAGTGAAGGACCTCCCGCCGAATTGCCGCCGCAGATCGCGATTGCGGTTCTTTTTTTTTTTGGTTTTTGGCTGCTTGGGGCGGCCAAAACCCTGGAGCCGGCCCTGGGTGGGTTCAGGGGATAAGGTCCAACAGAGGAAGTTTACAGGTCTCTTCCTCATTGTGGATGCACGAAGTCACGCCGGCTCACTCTCGATATTGGCGGTGGCCAGTGATGTGCTCTGTATAAATGTCTCGGGACCATCGGCCGAGAAGCTGATGGCGATGCTGCCTCCAGAGCTGGGCAGCTGGCGAGCAGTAGCTGCTGGCCGGGAGCCCAGCTCTGAAGGCAGAGCAGCCGCCGGTGGCAGCACAGAAGTAAGGATGACATGGTATGGTATTGCCACCTGTACTTCTGCACCGCTGCTGGCGGTGCGGCCTTCAGAGCTGGACACCTGGCCAATAGCCACCACTCTCTGGTTGCCCAGCTCCGAAGCAGTGCAGAAGTAAGGGTGGCAATACTATGACCCCTCTAAAATTATCTTGCGACCCCCTGCGACTCCCTTTTGGGTCAGGACTCCCAATTTGAGAAATACTAGCCTTCCCCCTGAAATCTGTATAGTATAGAGTAAAAGCACACACAAGACCAGATTTCATGGTCGGTGATGCATTTTTCATGGCCATGAATTTGGTAGGGCCCTACCCATGTGGAAAAAGAAGAGCTGACAGCCGTATTGGAGAAGGTGGAGGAAGACATGTGCCAGCACACTCCATGCTGGACTACATGCATGGAAGGTGCATGCCTATTGTGGTTACCTGGAGATGGTGGGCTTAAGCCTGCCCAATGTTAAAGGGTCTCTCCCTCAACTGAGGGGGAGGAGACATTGAATCCAGGCCCCAAGTGAATACCATGGACAACAAATGGAAAAAAAAAAGGCGGGGGGTAGGAGTGAAGGTCAAAGGGGAAAAAAATCCGGGATCTAGAAGGGGACACTGAGCAGAAAACCCCCAACATTCCCCACTGCTCCTCAAAAGGTGTCTAAGGAATCATTGGACACCGCCAAGAAGAACTCTGCGCAGAGGCATGACTTCACAAAGGAACAGAACTAGGCCCCACAGTTGCAGAGCACCCATCAATCCATCCATCTTCCTCCTCCAGGAGTGGTGGATGGCCGACTTGGTCAGCACCAGGAGGAGGTTGATGAGGAAGTCTTGCAATTTTGTGGGGTCATGGATGGTTTGTGCATAAATCAGGATATGCAGGGAGAATTGCAGCCAGAACTTCACTAAGGCCTCCTGGAGGAACCAGAAAAGGGGCTGCTATCTGATGCATCCCATGTAGATGTGCACAAGGGTCTCCCTCTCACCGCACAAAGGACAGGTGTCAGGGGAGTTCATGAACTGTGCTGGGCACACACCCATGCTCATGGCTCCATGGAGGACCTGCCAACGGTATCCCTGGCAGGCTATGGGACCAGAGTAGAGTGCAGACTGACCCCACCAGGGTTCCTTGTCCGCCTTGGGTGGCAGCAGGTCCTGCCTCTTGGTGTCAGGAATGGATGTGAGGGCAAGGGAGTGGATGGTGTGAAGCATGAGTATATACAGATATTTCCTGGATGCAGTTGAGAGATGGACCAACTGGATATTGTGCAGCCGACTAAGGTTGTGTGGCTGGGGAGGCTTGTGGGACACAGGGTTGATAGTTTCAGGAGGGCCAGGGCAAGGGGTGGATGGGGAGCACCGTCCAACAGGGCCTGCTTAAGAAAAGCAAGAGAAGCAGGAGGCAAGGCTGCCCTTACCTTCTGGAGGACATGATGGAGACACACGGTGGACAAGCCCATGCACTGGCCAAGCACAGCAGGGTCCACTGAATCCTTCTGATCAAAGTCCAGACTCTCGTGGTACCAGCCAAGACCAATTTCCAGTACGCCATGGGGGACGCCACTACCTGCACACGTAGATGGGGGTTGTGTGTGAGTATCTCTGTGGACCTGCTTGCAGAAACTAGCTTCTAGATCAGTGATTCTCAAACTTTTGTTCTGGGAGCCCTTTCACATAGCAAGCCTCTGAGTGCGACCCTCCCCCTTATAAAAAATGTTTTTAATTTATATATTGAACACCATTATAAATGCTGGAGGCAAAGCAGGGTTTGGGCTGGAGGCTGACAGCTCGCAACTCCCCACATACTAACCTCACGACCCCCTAGTCTAGGGGTCTCGATCCCCAGTTTGAGAACCCCTGTTCTAGATCCTGAAGAGGTCCTGGTAAAAGACTGGCAGCTCAGAGCAGTCACACTGGAAATCTCTCATGTGAAGATAGAAGAGCTGCTGTTTGGTGCCCTTGGAGGTGGCAGGGAAAGGTGTGCATTAGCACGCTCCATGCTGGACTATGTCTTGCAATATACTGGAGTTGGGTGGGAGTAGACCCACTTCCCCTCCAAAATGAAGGGCCCATCCCCTCAGTTCAGGAGGCGGAACCACTGAGACATGGCTACTATTGATTTCTGGAGACAACAAAAGTAAAAACAGGATCAGGTGTGGGATCAAAGTGAATAATGAGGAATCCAGAGTAGGACACTGCGCATTGACGGTGCCCACTTTTCCTCAAAGGTGTCTGAGGAAGCAGTGGATACCATCGAGAGGAATGTTACCTGGAACCATGATCAGGTAACAGACTGGAAATAGGCCCCACAATCGCAGAGTATGCCCCTCCCCCCATCCAGCTTCCTCCTCCTGGAGTGATGGTTTGCTATCTTGGCCAGACCAGGAGGAGTTGATGATCACGTCTCACAACTTTGTGGGGCCATGGATGAGGTATGAGTGCATCAGTAGGTGCAGGGAGAAATGCAGTCAGAACCTTATTAGCAGGTTCTGGAGGAGCCACAAGAGGGGCTGCAATCGGATGCACTCTACATAAATAGGCAATTCTTGATTTAGTCCCTAGTGGGGCACAGGACCTGGTCCAAGAGGTGAATATAGCTGAACTGCTCTGTAATAGCAACCATATCATAATTAAATTTAACATCGGGGGGGTGGGGGGAGAGAATACCAAGACGCCCACCACAGTAGTATTTAACTTCAGAAAGGGGAACTACCCAAAAATGAGGAAGTTAATTAAACAAAGGGAACAGTCGCAAGAGAGAAATGCCTGCAAGCTGCATGGAAACATTATTAGAAACACCATAACAGAGGCTCAAACTAAATGTATGCCCCAAATAAAAAAAAGGTAGAGGACCAAAAAAAATTACCACCATGGCTAAACAGAATTAAA